CCAGGCCAGCATTTCGCATGATGTACTCTGCATATATATTAAATAAGCAAGGTGACAGTATACATCCTTGTCGTACTCCTTTTCCTATGCTAAACCAATCAGTTGTTCCATATCCGGTTCTAACTGTTGCTTCTTGGCCCTTATACAGGTTTCTCAAGAGACATGTGAGGTGGTCTGGTACTCCCATCTCTTTAAGGACCTGCCATAGTTTGTTGTGATCCACACAGTCAAAGGCTTTAGCATAGTCAATGAAGCAGAAGTAGATGTTTTTCTGGTACTCTCTTGCTTTCTCCATAATCCAGCGAATGTTGGCAATATGATCTCTCGTTCCTCTACCTCTTCGAAACCCAGCTTGTACTTCTGGCAGTTCTCTATCCATGTACTGTTGAAGCCTAGCTTGTAGGATCTTGAGCATGACCTTGCTAGTGTGTGATATGAGTGCAATTGTGCGATAGTTTGAACATTCCTTGGCATTGCCCTTCTTTGGGATTGGAATGTATACTGACCTTTTCCAATCCTGTGGCCACTGTTGCGTTTTCCAAATTTGCTGGCAAATGGAGTGCAGCACTTTAACAGCATCATCTTCTAAGACTTTGAATAGCTCAGCTGGAATACCATCACCTCCACTATTCCGGCCAATTTACCTCAACAATTGATTACATAATGACCTCCTTGAACCTTTACAATAGTAATATTAAATTCAAGGTTGATGTGAGACCAGATAGTGATCATTTAGCCCTCAGTGTTAGCTGGAAAGTAACACCAAGGCCCCCTAAGAATAGGGACAGGATTGGGCTAGACGTGATAGACCAGACAGGGAGGGTTAAAAATAAATGGAATATTAAAATTAGTGAGAAATTCTGCATTTGGACTCAGACTGAAGAAGCAAAATCCATTTCCCATACACTGATGTCTATAGAAAATGGAAATGCTACATTAAAAATATATGATACGCTATATTAAAAATATATGTTGGTAGCTTCAAAGACAGGCAAACACCACTGAATAAGAAGTGGTTTGATCAGGAGTGTGTGCAAGCCAAGACTGAACTTAAAGAGAGCTTAAAAGTATTCCAGCTAAACCGAAATCTAAATACCAAGATGGTAAACTATCCAAGAAAATCTCAGTTCAGAAGGGCATTAGACAAGGCTGCTTATTAGCACCCTTCTTATCTAATATCTATATAAACACGTTGATTCAATGTACACATAAGATAGATATCCATGCCCCGAGTCTTGCAGGAAGAAAGGTACCAATTCTCATGTATGCAGATGATGCAGTTCTACTGTCACAAACAAAAATTGGTCTAAAGTGTGCCATAAAAAAAAATTAATGATCAATGTGATACAGAGCTTTTGACAATTAATTATTCATCCAGTACCTGAAACAGGGAAGATAAAGAAATAAAAGGCCTAAACATCAAGGGTTTTTCTTTTAAGTACAGAGCCTTTGCAGATGATGTAATGTTTATGGTGGAAGACCCTGTACGAAATCTACCACTGCTTATGGATAAGATAAAGGAATTTGGAGATTTGGTAGGTTTTTACGTTAACAAGGATAAGTCCAAGGTGATGTGTAAAAATATGACTGGAGAAAAACAAGAGGAATTACAGAAACTGACACAATGTGAGGTAGTGAAAAAGACTAAATACTTAGGTATTGACTTGACAATGAAAAATATAGACCTTTACAAAAATAATTATGACAAGCTTTGGCCTAAAATACAAGACATTAAAAAGTGGAATACATTGAACTTGTCACTTTTGGGAAGAATTTCAGTGGTTAAAATGTTTTACCACGATTGATGTTTTTGTTCCAGACAATCCCAATAGTGAGAGAAGTTAAGATTTTTAACACTTGGCAGAGAGAAATCTCAAAGTTTGTATGGGCTGGGAAGAAACCATGGATTAAAATGAAGATTTTATGTGATGCAAAAGAGAGAGGTGGATTTCAGTTACTGAATTTTAGACTGTATCATGATGCAGTATGTTTAGCTTGGCTGCAACAGTGGGTTACATTAGAAAATAAGAAATTGTTGGCACTAGAAGGACACGATTGTAAATTTGGCTGGCATGCCTATTTATGGTATGAGAAAATGAAAATAGATGGTTTTTTAAAACATCACTACATTAGATGAACATTATTTGACACGTGGACTAAATATAAAAGGTTTTTCTCGGATGAGAGACCGCTTTGGATTGTGCCGGCAGAGGTGTTAAAGCCATTTTCGATACATAGAGGAGAAGAGTGGATACAATATAAAGACATGTTGAAACCTATTGGAAAGATGTTTGAAATGAAAATGGAAGAAGATTTGGCGTTTAAATATGGTTGGTTACAATATAGACAGATTTATGATTTGTTTAAGAAAGATAAAAAAGCTTTTGGATTTAGAAAACAAAATAATGACATTGAAAAGGTATGGTTTGAGGGAGGTAAAAAGCAGATTTCTAAACTGTATAAGATATTGTTAAAATGGTATACTAAGGATGAGACAGTAAAAGAGCAAATGATAAAATGGGCGGTTAATATGAATAAAGAAATATCTATGTCATCTTGGGAATTTTTATGGAATAATGCAATGAAAATTTCAACGTGTAATAATCTGAAGGAAAATTGCTATAAGATGATGTATAGATGGTATATGACTCCAAAAATTTTTGCAAATATGAATAGTAATATGTCAAACAAATGTTGGAAATGTAAAAATGCAGAGGGCTCGTTTTATCATATGTGGTGGACTTGTGATAAAGCAAAAATGTTTTGGACTGAAATACATGCAGAAATGGAAAAAATAGTGAAGTGTACTTTTAAGAAAGAACCGGAAATATTTTTGCAGATTGGAAAGATCTGAAAGACTATTTAGAGAAATACTGGGATGTGAAGGACAATTTGCTTTGCTTTGATAACTATTGAAATATAAAAGTTAATAGAATAGAGATAAATATATAACGTATAAGAACAAAAGTTGAAAAAGAAGTTACCTATAGATGTGAAATGAAGGTGGAAAGAGTAAATAATAGAATTTAAGACATGGGCTGGAGATTGGAGCACTGTGGAAAGCCTAAGAAGGGGGGGGGGAGGTGGAAAGGATATATAACAAATGTAAATTTGATATGTGTTTGACTTTTTCATTATATCCCAATAAAACTGTTTAAAGAAAATTATTCAAAATCTAAAATTATACATTTTAGTAGACACTTTAAAAAAACTAACTGGGAAATAAATGGGAACACAGTAGAACAAGTTAAAAATTTTCAATATTTAGAAATCATCTTTACATTCAATACTAACTTCAAAGCCCATACAATTGCATTAGCAAACGCTGCAGAAAAGAGCACAAATGCCATCTTTAGATTCTTCTGAAGAGAAGTTGCGGGTTTTATACCTGCAGCCCTGAAACTATTTCAATCAAAATCATTAGCTCAACTCTTATATGGATCACAAATGGGACTAACTGCTAATGTTAAGATACTAGAAACAGTCCAATCAAAATTTCTTAGAACTCTATTTAATGCACCCAGATGTACTCCTAATGTCATTCTTAGCAGGAAGCTGGTTTACCCAGAGTCGAATTAAAAATCTGGGAAGATGCCATCTATTACTGGATAAAAATTCATCTTGAACCAAAGGGCTTAATCCCCTTCTGATCCTTATCCAACATGGTGCTCAAAGATAGCTGATAAAATTAAGCTGATTGGTTTGGACCCAGCAGGTTTGTTTGATATGGGACTCAACAACACACAAGCTTTAATCACCCAAAGATTAACTGATATAGAGTCCCAAAATGATGAAGCAATACTTCCTTTAAACTATAAAAGCTTAAGAAAAGGACTGAGCTACACTATATCCAGTGTTCCCTCTAAGCTGAGTTAGTGTGAGCTAGCTCAGTTTCTTAGCCTCCGGCTCACACACTTTTGTCTTTGCTCAGGAAGGATGGCTCCAGAGCAAACTAACTTATGCGGTAGCCAAATTGCTTGCTCACAATTTTAATGCTAGTAGCTCACAAAGTAGAATTTTTGCTCACAAGACTCCACAGCTTAGAGGAAGTATTGACTATATCCCCATATTGTTCGGATATTACAAATGAAAGATGTAGATGGTCCTTCTCTAGAGCACAGTTTGATGCATTTCCTTCTGCAGTTTTGTATGGGAGATTCTCCCACCTGCCCTTGCAGCAGCATTGCTGTCCCTATTCAAATAAAGTGGTTGAATCTATCACACAGATACTTTTGCACTGCGAATTTTATCAAGAAGAAAGGCTACAACTAATTATTCTGTTACTCTGTAGATTTAAACCACTACAGTATTATATAGATTTTAGTCCTGAAATCCTTCAGGTATATCTATTAGATAGTCAGAGAACTATATCATATGCAGTAGCAAAATTCTGGGTAATAGCACTCAGAAAGCGGAATCACTTGATGAAGGAAACGTCAGTTGCTGGGAAATACTATTTTGATACATACACACATTTTTCACTTTTTATGTATTTATCCATTTTAAAATTTATAAATTGTCCTTTTTATCTGTACCTATTGTGGCTGGTCTTATGACCATAATAAACTTTTGACTTTGAATGCCAAAACCCAAGTATTTCACCTGGAACCAAAATAGGCCAGGATCGAAGTCTCAGATTTGTGCAGAATGCATACTTGATATGTGTCCCTCCATCTCCAGCAGTTGTTGGTTCCCGAGCATTCTATAGTTGCAAATATGTATTTTAGCACACAATTTGTCTGCTGCCATTGGAGAGGACACTGGTTTGGAACAACACAGGAGTTTTCCCACATGCAAGAGAGATGATAGAGATCACTGCCACTAGCTATGTGAAGCAGTGCTCCCCCTAAGTCAAGGGGCAGGTGGTGGCAGTGAACCCCACGTCCTCTCCTGTCTTCACCCCACCCCTCCTCCAAAGAGCTTACATGGCTCTTCACTCCCCATTTCATGCAGTCCATCACCCCTCTTATCTTAGTACAAAACCACGTCTCCTCTCTCACCATCTGCACGGCAATGCCTGCCACCACGCCGCCCGCCATGCTGAAAGCTGCCGGGAAGTTGAGGAGCCCAGCCCCAAGGGCGGCATTCACCACAATGAAGATGGCCCCAAGGATCGAGGTCGCTGCAGGCCCTTGTTCCTCAGCACTTCTGGGTCCCACCTCCACGCAAGGGCTCTGCAGCAGCCTGGCCCGCTCACCGGCATCTGCGCTCCAGGACCAGTCTCCATATTCGCTGTTGATCCCCATGTTGCCGTGGGCCATGGCTTCACCAGGAAAGCAACACTCAGACCCAAACCAAACCTGTTCCAAGTTGCATGCCCAGAGAAACCCAAAGCATTACTCTGAAGGATAAAAGAGCTTGGCATCCCGGACAGGCATGCTGGGGTCAGATGAGGCTGCCCAACTGAGTTTGGGGCCCAGGGGGCAGTGCTCCTAGAAGAACCCAAAAGAAGAAAGTCAGCACTATAAGCATATAGAAATGCAGCCTGTTCTTCAACACAGCCAGGCAACGATTATTAAACATGGTGTGTGTGTGTGTGAGAGAGAGAGAGGGGGGGGGGCTCTTGGCTGTTTTCTAGGCACATACATAAAAGTTCTCCATTGCAACCCAGGGGCTTCCACCCCCCAGTGGAACACCACCCCTCGGCCCAGATAACAGGTGAAAGCTAACACCCTCAAAGCTTTTCACCATGTTCTTCTTCTGAGATACACTGAGATGTTGGGGGGGGGGGCAGAATACCAGCTCTCAGCAGAAATGTCACCCCATGTCCCACAGCAGGAACATGATGAGAACAGGGAGGAGGGGCAGGCCACCAAACGACTCCAATGAGGCACATATTGACCGTAAGGCATATCTTGCCCACTTGTGCAGTCTAGGCTGGCAGTGCGATCCTTTGGCAGAAAAAGGAAACATTAACTAACAGCAGGCCTCCTTTTATAAAGTTCTTAGACCTCAGCATCAGGAAAATAAGAGCTACCTGGCTGGTTTGATCAGGATAGATCCATCTACTCTGGCATCCTGTCTCTGACAGCAACTAATTAGATGCCTCTGGAAAAACCACAAGCAGAGCATGAATGTAATGGCCATTCTCTATTTTTTGTCCCCCGCACCTGATAATCAGAGGTAGACTGCCCTCCAGACAGAGGGCTGGAGACAGGGAGATAACAAAGGCTTTGTTAAATAGTGAGTTCCATAGATGAACAGACACAAATGATCAGCTCTATTTTATTAATGATTTCAGCAAGAACAAGACTAAACTCCAGAGCCAGAGCCCTGTTTAAATAGCATGCAATTGCCATACCCAAACACACCCTACTCCCAACAATAGACTATTTACATAACATTACTTCTTGATTGGTTACTTCCAGAGTCCTGGTGGACTATTGTTCTTGGGCTCCAAACTCTGCCCTTCTCTGGTAGAACAGTCCTGGAATGTTTCAGTCCAATACATAACAGGCTTAATAAATTGCACTTCTTTAAAATATGGCAAAAGGGGTGTGGATTTTTACCCCTGTAATCATCCCAGTCAAGTGGCCCCACCAGTATCACAAAGATACAGCTTACTCCCAGGTACCAGTGGCCCTCCATGGCAGCAGCCCACCAGAGACTTTACTGGTAAATCCATTTGCCCCGAAGCCCAGAAGAGAGGAATCCTCAAAGAGGAAGACACTCAAATCACTGCCACCCTTGTTTATTGGTTGCTAAACCAGCCAGCTGCATCGCACAGCAATTTCCTGCTCGACTCAGCAGGCTCTCTCTAGGGTGAAGTTCAGAGACACTTGAGTGGCTGCAAACATAAATTCTCAACGGATAATGGCTGTATCGTTCTCCCAGTCGCTACCTCTCATAGTAAAGCTTGGCTGGCTCCTGCACAATAGAGCCACCCACAGGCAAGGCTGCGGTCTTTAGCCTACTCGGGATTCTCAAGCACACAGAAAAATAGGGCTCTATTAACCAAAATGGGGGGGGGAAATCCTCTAAATCGGCTAGTTTAGGAATGCTTCAGAAGGGATGGAACATCGACAGCAGTGGGATCCAGTCAACAGAATGGGGGAAGAGTAGGAATCAGTCTGGTCGAAAACCTGGAAAGGGCATGGGGGGGGGGGGGGGGGGGGAGCATTTCCAAAATGCCCTCTCTGGTCGATTCCGCTTGGGTCCGCAGCAACTCCCACGATTTCTATCACAGCCACCCTTGGAACCACTTTGAAAACAAACACACAAAGCAACAAACGCACAGCCCTCGCGCGAACATCTTCTCCGCCACCAAACACCGACTGCTTGCGCGCGCGCACAAAAAGCCCTGAAAAAATCAAATCTGATAGCAGAGTTTACGGAAAAATCTTACAAAGACACACATTTCAGCTCGGCAAATTTCACTCCCATCCCCGTCTGCATTAGACCGAGATGAGAACTTATAGATTCGGCTCCTTGCACACAGAAACGAGCCAGCATAACAGCGCTAGCTTTCTGCGTACAGGGTGTATCAGCCTCCTCCTGTGCCAAATCTGTAAAGGGATCGCGACCCGCCACTTACCTTCTCCACACCGGCTCCCGAAGCTACTCAGCTGACTAATAGCACGTGATCACGAGCGACCGTACTGCACGCCGGGAAATGTAGTTCTTTGACCACAGAAACGAATACACCCACGCACCGGGAGGAGAGAGCGTGCAGAAGCGTGGGAGTGCCACGGCACTTGAGGCGGGCAGAGGGTGGTGCCGCAAAACCTGACCTGGGACTCGAGCGGGCTAGGAGGGCGCGGGTCAAACCACCTTTCTTCATCGCTGCTGGAAGGGTAGGATTGCCAATCTCCAGGTCGCACCTGGAGATCTGCTATTACAATTAATCTCCAGACGACCAAGATCAGTTCCCCTGAAGAAAATGGCAGCTGCTTTGGAGGGGGAACAATATGGTATTTTACCCTGCCGAGGTTCCTCCCCTCTCTAAACCTCGACTCTCCAGGTAAAAAGGTAAAGGTTTCCCTTGCTCGAAAGCCAGTCGAATCCGACTCTAGGGTTACGGTGCGCATCTCCGTTTCCAAGCCGAAGAGCCAGCACTGTCCGAAGACGTTTCCGTGGACATGTGGCCGGCATGATTAAATGCCAAGGCGCAGGGAACGGTTTTACCTTCCCACCGAAGCGGTACCTGTTTATCTACTTGCAATTTCTTGCTTTCGAATTGCTAGGCATTCTGGTCTTGAACTGCTGAACTACCGACCTTCCAGCCTGCAGTTCAGCTCCACCCCCAAATCTCCAGGTACTTTCAAACCCAAAGCTGGGAACTCTTTAGAAGGGAAGAGTGTGTCCAGAAAGCTGACCCAATTTGCCAGCCTTGGATTAACAATTAAAGCAAAATAAGGACATGCTTAGGGCGCCAAGGGAAGGGGGCAGCGCAGAGTTTTTCCCTGGTAGATATCATGCCCTTAACTCTTTCACTGTCACACTCGACTTTAGTCGAAATCTTGGCAATTGTCCTTATGTTCGACTTTAATCTGCATTGTTGTGTTTATTTAAGTTTTCTTTGGCATTTATTGAGTCTTGTCAGTTAAGCAATGGAAGGGCTGAGGGGCACCATTGTCGGTGCTGGGTTTAGGGCATCAGTTGGCCTTAATCATCCAGTCCTGCAACTTGCTCAAAGTCTAATGGCAGATTTGTTAGAAGGAAGTTGATGGGGGAGAATTTGGCTCTGGCACTCCTACCCATTATCCCATCTCCACAAAAGATCTTGCTGACTTCCATTAGCATCTTAACATAAGAACATAAGAGACGCCAATGTTGGATCAGGCCAAAGGCCCATCCAGTCCAACACTCTGTCACACAGTGGCCAAAAATATCAGGTGCCATCAGGAGGTCCACCAGGGGGCCAGGACATTAGAAGCCCTCCCACTGTTGACCCCCCCCCCCAAGCACCAAGAAGACAGAGCATCACTTGCCCCAGAGTCCCTATCTATACCTTGTGGCTAATAGCCACTGATGGACCTCTGCTCCATATACTTATCTAATTCCCTTTTGAAGCTGTCCATGCTTGTAGCCGCCACCACTTCCTGTGGCAGTGAATTCCAAGTGTTAATCACTCTTTGGGTGAAGAAGTACTTCTTTTTATCCGTTCTAACCCGACCGCTCAGCAATTTGAGTGCCCACGAGTTCTTGTATTGTGAGAAAGGGAGAAAAGTACCTCTTTCTCTACCTGCTCTATCCCATGCATAATCTTATAAACCTCAATCATGTCACCCCTAAGTCGTCGTTTCTCCAAGCTAAAGAGCCCTAAGCGCTTTAACCTTTCCTCATAAGGAAAGTGTTCCAACCCTTTTATCATTTGAGTTGCCCTTTTCTGCACTTTTTCCAAAACTATAATATCCTTTTTAAGGTGTGGTGACCAGAACTGCACACAGTATTCCAAATGAGGTTGCACCATTGATTTATATAGGGGCATTATGATATTGGCTGATCTGTTTTCAATACCCTTCCTAATAATCCCCAGCATAGCATTGGCCTTCTTTATTGCAGTCACACACTGTCTCGACATTTTCAGTGAGTTATCTACTACAACTCCAAGATCTCTCTCTTGATCAGTCTCTGCCAGTTCAGACCCCATCAACGTGTATTTATAGTTAGGATTTTTGGCTCCAATGTGCATCACCTTGCACTTGGCCACATTGAACCCCATTTGCCATGTTGACGCCCACTCGCCCAAAATTGACAGATCCCTTTGGAGTGCCTCACAATCCTCACTGGTTTTCACCACCCTGAACAACTTCGTATCATCCGCAAATTTAGCCACTTCACTGCTTACTCCCATCTCCAAATCATTAATGAACAAGTTAAAAAGCAGTGGACCAAGTACTGATCCCTGCGGTACCCCACTGCTTACCACCCTCCACTGAGAAAATTGCCCACCTACACTCACTCTCTGTTTTCTATGAACTAGCCAGTTTTTGATCCATAAAAGGACTTGTCCTTCTATCCCATGATTTTTGAGCTTACTTAGGAGCCTTTGATGAGGAACTTTATCAAAAGCTTTCTGGAAGTCAAGGTAAACAATATCTATTGGATCCCCCTTGTCCACATGTTTGTTCACCCCCTCAAAGAACACTAACAGGTTAGTGAGACAAGATCTTCCCTTACAGAAACCGTGCTGAGTCTGCCTCAATAGGTTTTGTTCATCTATGTGCCTACTAATTCTTTCCTTAATAATGGTTTCCACCATCCCTGATGGATTAAAGTACCCTGGTCCTGCTCCTACATTTAAGAACATAAGAACATAAGAGACGCCAATGTTGGATCAGGCCAAAGGCCCATCCAGTCCAACACTCTGTGTCACACAGTGGCCAGAAATACCAGTGCCATCAGGAGGTCCAGCAGTGGGGCCAGGACATTAGAAGCCCTCCCACTGTTGACCCCCCCCCCAAGCACCAAGAAGACAGAGCATCACTTGCCCCAGAGCCCCTAGCTATACCTTGTGGCTAATAGCCACTGATGGACCTCTGCTCCATATGCTTATCTAATTCCCTTTTGAAGCCGTCCATGCTTGTAGCACCCACCACTTCCTGTGGCAGTGAATTCCATGTGTTAATCACTCTTTGGGTGAAGAAGTACTTCCTTTTATCCGTTCTAACCCGACCGCTCTGCAGTTTCATGGAGTGCCCACGAGTTCTTGTATTGTGAGAAAGGGAGAAAAGTACCTCTTTCTTTACCTGCTCTTTCCCATGCATAATCTTATAAACCTCGATCATGTCACCCCTCAGTCGTCTTTTCTCCAAGCTAAAGAGCCCTAAGCGCTTTAACCTTTCCTCATAGGGAAAGTGTTCCAACCCTTTTATCATTCGAGTTGCCCTTTTCTGCACTTTTTCCAAAGCTATAATATCCTTTTTAAGGTGTGGTGCCCAGAACTGCACACAGTATTCCAAATGAGGTCTCACCATTGATTTATATAGGGGCATTATTATATTGGCTGATCTGTTTTCAATACCCTTCCTAATAATCCCCAGCATAGCATTGGCCTTCTTTATTGCAGTCACACACTGTCTCGACATTTTCAGTGAGTTATCCACTACAACTCCAAGATCTCTCTCTTGCTCAGTCTCTGCCAGTTCAGACCCCATCAATGTGTATTTATATTTAGGATTTTTGGCTCCAATGTGCATCACCTTGCACTTGGCCACATTGAACCCCATTTGCCATGTTGACGCCCACTCGCCCATCCTTGACAGATCCCCTTGGAGTGCCTCACAATCCTCACTGGTTTTCACCACCCTGAACAACTTTGTATCATCCGCAAATTTAGCCACTTCACTGCTTACTCCCATCTCCAAATCATTAATGAACAAGTTAAAAAGCAGTGGACCAAGTACTGATCCCTGCGGTACCCCACTGCTTACCACCCTCCACTGAGAAAATTGCCCACCTACACTCACTCTCTGTTTTCTATGAACTAGCCAGTTTTTGATCCATAAAAGGACTTGTCCTTCTATCCCATGATTTTTGAGCTTACTTAGGAGCCTTTGATGAGGAACTTTATCAAAAGCTTTCTGGAAGTCAAGGTAAATAATATCTATTGGATCCCCCTTGTCCACATGTTTGTTCACCCCCTCAAAGAACACTAACAGGTTAGTGAGACAAGATCTTCCCTTACAGAAACCGTGCTGAGTCTGCCTCAATAGGTTTTGTTCATCTATGTGCCTACTAATTCTTTCCTTAATAATGGTTTCCACCAATTTACCCGGTATCGACGTCAGACTGACTGGCCTGTAATTTCCCGGATCTCCTCTGGAACCCTTTTTAAAGATGGGAGTGACATTAGCTACCTTCCAATCCTCAGGAATGGAGGCAGATTTTAAGGAAAGATTACATATCTTTGTCAGGAGATCTACAAGTTCACATTTGAGTTCTTTCAGAACTCTCGGATGTATGCCATCTGGGCCTGGTGATTTTTCAGTTTTTAAGTTGTCTATCAGTTTTAGGACCTCCTCTCTCGTCACCTCAATCTGACTCAGGTCTTTCAACACCCCTCCTGAAATCAGTGGTTCTGGAGTGGGCAAGCACTTCTCATCTTCCACAGTGAAGACGGAGGCAAAAAATGCATTTAGCTTCTCAGCCATTTCCCTATCATCCTTCAATACTCCTTTTACCCCTTGGTCGTCCAAGGGCCCCACTGCCTCCCTGGCTGGTTTCCTGTTTCTAATGTATTTGAAGAAAGTTTTATTGTTGGTTTTTACGTTTTTTGCTATATGCTCCTCATATTCCCTTTTTGCCTGCCTGACCTCAGACTTGCATTTTATTTGCCATAGCCTGTGTTCCGTTTTATCAGCCTCACTGTGACTAGCTTTCCACTGCTTAAAGGAATTCTTTTTACTTTTTACAGCCTCCATTACTCTGTTTGTTAACCATGCAGGCTTTTTCCTATACCTGTTTGTGCCTTTCCTAACCTGCGGAATATATATTTTTTGAGCTTCTAGGATCGTAGTTTTAAATAGATCCCAAGCTTCCCCAATTGTTTTGACCCTTTCTACTTTTCCTTTCAGTTTCCTCCCCACGTGTCCCCTCATATCAGAGAAATTACCCCTT